AGTCTGGAGCACTGTTCACAAAAAGTGCCAGCTAGGAGTGCTCTGGGACTAAGGTGCGCAGCATCCTCAATGACTAGTAATGAAAAAAGGTCGAAAAATCAGTGTGAAATGGCCCCACCTTAACCAAAAGCAGAATATATTTTTTTTTTTTTTATTCTTCTTTAAAGGAATAAGTCAGAACATTTGACATTAACTAGAGTAAAAGAGAAACAGAAAGCAGTCCTTGCTTTCTGGTGAGGACACAGAGGTGACTGCATAAACAGGACAGAGATAAATTATAACTGTTTAACAAACAGTATTATTCTGGCAGTTTATAGCTTCAGCTCAAATTGGAATTGCATTGATTCAGATAACCCTGCTGCAATGATACAGGGTTTTAGCATCAATTTTTAATGCAATTAATCTGCTCTCTAGTTATTTGATTTTTTTTTTGTATCCTGTTTACTATACTAGGCATGTAAAGAGTTCCTCTTTCAGCCTGTATGTGCAGGGGTATGCATATATACTAACAACCTTATTGCAGTAAGCTTACTAGCCTACAGTCAAGACAGACTCAACAAGCAATGATATAATTTTCAAAGACACACCTAAATGGAAGCATTTTTGACTTCAATGAAGCTGCCAAAAAAAACAAGCAATGCTGAGTTAAGGGTTTTGTAAACCAAAGAATCCCTTCTCTTTTTAAATCAATAACCACATGCAACCATGTTACAGCCTCCATTTTACTGGCTTTCAAAAGTAAAGGTGGCAATACTAGAAAGCAGCATGATTAAAGTCTATAAAGCAACTGATATCACCTATGGTTTCTATGAAAAATCTCATAAAAATACATATTCCAAATAAATAAAATGTGTTCTGCAAAGAAATAAAAAACAAAACATCACCACCAAGTCCTCCACAGCTAACAGATACTGCACATTTGCAGTAGGAAACTTGAGAAATACTGAACCACAAGATCCTTTCCCCCACTTGAAAAGTCTGAATTTTTTCACACAACAAATGCTTCCTGACATGTCTTCAGCAGGACCCCTGGGTAATCTAGAACATCCTTCAAACTGTTTCAGAAAAGACTGCTAGACTAAGTTAACAAAGATTTTTTTATCTAGTGGATCTCTTCTTGAACACCCTGAAGAATGACACCTCACTGACCTCTCCTGCCAGGCGCTCATATAGAAGCATAGAACCAACTAGGTTGAAAAAGACCTTAAATAGCACCAAGTCCAACTGTTACCTGAGGACTGCCAAGGCCTCCACTAAACCACGCCACTAAGGGCTTCCTCTACGTAGTTTTTGAACACTTCCAGGGACAGCAACTCCACCACTTCCCTGGGAAGTCTGTTGTAAGGCTGGATCACCCTTTTGGTGAAGAAATTTTTCCTAATACCCAATCTAAACCTCCCCTGGCGCAGCTTGAGGCTGTAACCTCTTGTCCTATCACTTGTTACTTTTTGTCTAATTAAGCTCTCCATTAGAAAGCATTCCTTTTTAATTTGGGGTCATTACTTCTTGTTAGACCACCCATGATTACCTTTAACAATTCCTCCTCCTCTTATGCTTCTTCTCAAGTATTTATATTCCTTTAGGAAGGCTGTATATAGCACATTCCTGAGATCTTTCTCATTGGGTCTTGCTCTCCAATCCTTTTATTATTTTTGTCACCCCTCTCTAAACCATTTTCCATGTATTCATGTCAGTATGCAGGCTAGAGCCCTTACTGATAAAAGCAATCCATACAAATATGCCTCCACTACTTGCAACCAAAAAAAAATGTCTCTATTGATAAGTGGAAGAGGCAAGTGAAGTCTTTGCAAAGAGGGAGACTTATGAGTCTTGGATCCCATGCCTGTGCCAGAAATAACAGAATAACTGAAAGTAATAAATCTCCTTTCCATTTTTGCACTGCTACCTTTTCTTCTTTTTTTTTTCCTATATATTGCCTTGCAAGGAAATCACATCTTCAAAATATGAAACAATTTTTGCTCCTACATGCATACCTATTACAACTGAGAATTCTTTTGCATATGAATTAAGCAATGGAACCAGGGCAAATATATTGGGGATTTTTGCAGGTGGAGAAGGGAACATTTTTCACAAAATTATTAAAGAGAGACACACTGTCTTTAGATTAAGTTTGTTTTAATCCCAAAGTGACCTTTTAATGGAAAACCTAGAGTAGCTAACATTTAAAAAATGCATTTACTTTCTGTTTTGATTTTTTTTATAAAGGCTGATTCCATATTTATACTTCTAACACTGAAAAGATTTTTTGTCTCTCTATTCTTACAAACAAAGCAATTTCATGGAAGAATAATAAGCTTTGAAAACTTACAAAATGTCAGTAATTTCTGCTGCCCCAAGTTTGACACATGACAGAAACAGGCATTGAGGATACTAAGTAAGTAAAGTGAAAATGATGCCTAAAATTAAAGAAATAATTCTAAAATTGAGGAGTTAGAATTTCAAAAGTTTCACATATGACATGTCAGAGCGACCTAACTCTGTGCATCCAGTCAGATGAGATCATCCAAGAGATAAGCAGGGATGAAATCTGTATCCATAAATTTAGCAGGAAAAATGTATCACTTGCAATATTGAAAGAGACAAAATAAATCTTGTACTAGCTTCTAATGACTGACATCTATAAGTTTTGCTAAGAAAAATTTGTTAAAACCATTTCCATCATGGTTCATACTCCAGAGGCTGTCCAAGAAAATCTTATTTTTGTTTGGCATTCCCCAAGAGTTTTCATGTGTAACACCTGGCTTTTATGATTCTATGTTATTAGCTAATGGACTTTAATAAGATCTAGTTTTTCAGGTATTTTTCCCCTGCTACAAAATATCAGCTCAGCAAAACCAAAAAACTTAACAAGAAACCTCTTTTTCACGTGGAACTTTCCATTTCCAGAAATTAATGGAAACAAAGTTTGAAATCCAATTTATTCTCATTGTTCTTAAGCTCTTATTTGTAATTTGAGCTAAAATAGAAAAGATTAAAATCAATATACCCCAAATTTAAAAATAAACTGTGTTAATTTTCTTCTTGGGTTACTACTTACATATTTTAGAGACATAAATACTTTTCCAAAACAGAAAAGGGAAATTGTTTCAGAACAACTTCCAAGGTGAGGAGCTGGACTGGTAACAACATTATTTAGTATATAGTTATACACTACCTACAGCATGAAATATTAACTGTGGAAATAAGTAAAGATTCGAATGCACTTACTGCTGCACGTTATGAATTATGTATTTCTGTAATTTACTAAGAATACCTATTTCATTTAAGCTGAAAGTTGTTATTCTAGACTCTCTGGAATTGTGCTGTAGATAATTAGTTGAGGAATCCGTTATTGCAAGCCTCCATAAAATGTAAGCCCAGCCTCTGCTAGTGAAGGAGTCTTCCCGAAACCTTGCGCCTCGCAGCTTAAGTCTTTTGAGAGTTCCTTTCTAAGATGTAAATTTTCTTTCTATAAAGCTTTTCTGAATCAATTGAGATTCAATATAAGAAGATTGCCAAATAAATTACTTTTCATTTCTGCCCACAGTTAAACTCCTGCAAGGATCTGGAAATGTATCAGGATCATTAGCCTTAATGCCTATAATACACACTGCTTTAAGGTGAAGTGAGTAGTAAAACAGTTTAATACATTAGCCTCTGCTCTTGAGACCCACAGGGTCCTCGCAGTGCATGCACGTAACTCTTATGGACATTTCTGAAGCCTTATGCACTCAAGGGGGACAGACTTTCTACCCAGCTTGGGTCTCAATAAAACACGTGTTGATGTCTTTTCAATACCTGGTTTGGATACATTGTTAGAACTCAATGTAAAACTAAGCAATGTGTATTTTTGCCAGAGCCTATTATGAAGCAAATAAAATCACTGACTGAGCTGCATATAGCTTACTGTACTTTGAGAGCAAGTACTCCCCGATTCCTCTACTGAAAATCTCTGTGTATGCACAAACACAAGTAGAAATCATGTCTGTATTTAGTCTTTCCCAGCTACCCATTTGCCTAATTTATTTACCATAAAATTTACCCTATTGATTTAAAAATCACTGATGAACATAAATGTGGAGAATTTACTTATGCTAATATGATAAAAAAAAAAAAAACACAAAAAAAAAAAATCAAGTTAAACTAGCTCTTTTTTTTTTTTTAATCCAGCAGGCTTTGATGCAGCAAAATTGATAACTAGAAACAGACTTCATCCAAAGTTTAATTTATTGGGTCAGTATTATCCCTGGTTAGTTAAAATAAAAAGAATTAAACCAACCTACTTCATTGCCAAATTCCTAGCTAATGAATACACATAAACTTATACTGAGGATCCAACTCTCATGCACAATGCTGATCTATAAAACATTGCAGACTAGTTAATCATTTAATGTTTAAAAAGCTAGATAAAACTAGCTCATGCCAAAAATTAGCCCACAGCACAATATTAATTACAAGTTTGCCCAACAGCTAACTCCCTGCCTTATTTAGCATACTTGATTTCAAGGAACCATTAAGGAAATAAAAAAAAGACAAACACATAATTCCTGCTTCATACTTTATAAACAACTCTGTGACTCAGCTTGCAAATATCAATAACATGCCTTTTTAATATGAATTTGAAGATTTCCGCAGTAAAGATGACTCAGGCACATTATATTTCTTTTCTAATAGACTATAGTAGATGTTCTTGTCACTTATCAACTGTGATTGAAATCCAGGTATGGAAGATGACTGGAAAAATAGAATTGTCCCATAAATCTGCATAGTATACTAAGAGGGCCCACCTGGCCCAGGCTATCCCAGTTTGCCTTAACCACAAAGTATGCATTACATGGAGTACCTGTTACTTCCATTCCCTGGCATTAAAATCTGGCAGTCTTATTCGACATTTACCAAACAGCACTGTCAAAATCTACCACTTCAGAAAACATGGCAAGGTGTCACATAAGCCATCATATATGTTCCTGAAATGTTAATGATAAAAACTGTGCACTGACCTCATTAATAAAAGTCTGGGCTCCCCGTGGGCTTAGGAGTAAGATAGCCCTTCGCAATGTGTCCCGATAGCGGTTCAGCTCTTCTGTTTTCATGGTAGTGAAAAGGTTGGCAAAGACTCTGCTGATGTTCCTGTCCACTTTTTGTAATGACACATCAAGTCCCAGTCTTGAGGCCTGATCAAGAAATCCCTGCAGTCCACGTATATCTGTAACACAGGAGAGGGGGCGGGGAGAGGGGGTAGGAGAGGAAAAAAAAAGAACCACTGCATCAACCTTCACCAATTAGGCAAATATCTCTAATTAGCTGGAAAAAGACTTTTTATTCCTGTACTGCTGTCAGGAGAAGAGTATTCCATCTTCCACAGCCATCTGCCACAGCTCCCTTTCACAGATAGCGCTTAACAGGGAAATTCTATCAATTACCTTTCCCTGGAAAACTCCGAATGTCTCTTTGGAAGAGCCAGTTCATGTATTTGGGTGGCTGTATGTAACTCCCCAGAAGCTCAAGGCCACAGGGCCTAACACTGCACAAACAAAAAGACAGTCCAACCCCAACAATATCACAGTTCAAATGCAGAAATCCAGGAACAGCAGGGAGACAAATCATTCACTCCTAAGCTTCTCTCCTTCCACCATATATTGAAGGTTAAAAAACAAAACAAACAAACAAACAAAAAACAACACCAAAACCAACCAACCAAAAAAAAAAAAAACAACAAAAAAAAAACAACAAAAAAAACCACAAAGCTTTCAGTAGGGGAAATGCTGCAAATGAGCACTTTCAAAGCCCATTCCATTGAGCTCTGTCCCTCAACTTCAAGCTGAATGGAAAAAAAAAACCACAAAAACAAAACCAGAAAGGTATTTCCCTAATCACATTTGTTAGGACACTAGTATGGAAGAACACACATTTCATATTATGTTCATGATGGAATCTGTTCAAACTGTGCTCTATCTTAATGAATTTCAGCTTTTTCCTGTAATAAATGTCTGAGGTTTTATTTTGTAGTGAAATTTAGAGCAAGAAAAAGGTCAAAGTTTATAGTGAGCCAGGTTGCTTTCAAAATTGACAGTGACCCAATCACAGCTGTACCATGTCATTAGCAGCCCTTAATTTTATGTGAAGCATATATAATTTGCCTTGAATAAGAAAATTTTTATTCCCCTTTTCTCACATTCCTTTCTCACACTTTTATCATCAAATATCAGCTCATGGGTGAAGCTCAATGGTGTAAGTTACATTACATTCATAAATCTCACAATAAACCCCACACTTCAGAAAACTTGACTGTAACTCTAACGATCTCTGTTACAAATTACATTATAACGACTGGTGGGTTGGGGTTTTGTTTTAAATTCTGGAAGTAAGCATCTGATTAAATTCTACATCTCAATACCACAGACACCGTCAAAGTCAGGAGACTGAAAAACAGTTTGATTCGAGTCAGTAGCATTCCTTGATGCCCCATCTGAGAGGGCTGTTAGACCATCACCAACCTTGGTGTTGCATGGCCATAGAATACAGATTTGAAGTTCTCTTTTCTCTCCCTAAAAAACAACGTATGAGACATGATACAAGTAACACCTTGCAAGAACACACCAGTTAAAGAATTTAGCTCATGTACAAGCACAATATATTGGAGCCAACAACGTAACGATCGAACAATAGATCCAAAAGGAAAACACTGAAATTTAGCCTGAGTAGCTTTGTACTTCTATTCAAATATGGGAATGCCCGTTAATATGATAACTTCAGCTTCAGAAAATAGCCCATTTACAGAGAAACATCAGAAAGGAATAGAAATTAAGCTAGGGATGAGCCAACTGCAGCAGAATCTTTACTGCCTTTTTAACTCAAGCTTAGTTAATAAGATTATCATTCCAGCCAGCCCCACCATCAGGAAAGGTGTACTCAAGAAGGTCTTGCTGGTGACTTAGGCAAGTCTATAGCAATTTTATCACACTGACAAATACCTACTAGATTTGCTTACTGTATAAAATCCTGAGTCACTGAGGAAAGCAAGAGGTTTATTGTTATGCAGGCATTTCTGGAAAATGCCAGAAGACTTCAGACTTCTAGAACTGCTAAATGTTGCACATGTGCTGAAATAATGACGGACAAACAACTACTGTTTATAGGTCAAAGTATTTGACAGAAGTTGTCAAGCTTAGTTTGGATTTTGTTAATTTAAATCCAGTAAACTAGCGTTCATTACTATACCTTTGCTTACTATATGGATTGATGATACATGAAACACTGAGATTTTTCAATTATCTTAGAATCATAGAATAGTTAGGGTTGGAAAGGACCTTAAGATCATCAAGTTCCACCTCCCCTGCCATGGGCAGGGACACCTCACACTAAACCAAGTTGCCCAAGGCCTCGTCCAACCTGGTCTTGAACACTGCCAGGGATGGAGCATTCACAACCTCCCTGGGCAACCCATTCCAGTGCCTCACTGCCTTCACATTAAAGAACTTCTTTGTTATATTTAAGCTAAACTTCCCCTGTTTAAGTTTAAACCCATTACCCTTTGTCCTATCCCTACAGTCCCTAATGAAGGGTCACTACCCAGCATCCCTATAGGCCTCCTTCAGATACTGGAAGGCTGCTATGAGGTCTCCACACAGCCTTCTCTTCTCCAGGCTGAACAGCCCCAACTTCCTCAGCCTGTCTTCATACGGGAGGTGCTCCAGTCCCCTGATCATCCTCGTGGCCCTCCTCTGGATTTGTTCCAACAGTTCCATGTCCTTTGTATGTTGAGGACACCAGAACTGCACACGGTACTCCAGGTGAGGTCTCACGAGAGCAGAGTAGAGGGGCAGGATCACCTCTTTAGACCTGCTGGTCACACTCCTTTTGATGCAGCCCAGGATACAGTTGGCTTTCTGGGCTGGGAGCACACGCTGCCAGCTCACGTTAATTTTCTCATCAACCAACACCCCCAAGTCCTTCTCTGCAGGGCTTCTCTGAATCTCTTCTCTGCCCAACCTGTAGCTGTGCCTGGGATTGCTCCAACCCAGGTGTAAGACCTTGCACTTGACATGGTTAAACTTCATGAGGTTGGCATCAGCCCTCCTCACAAGCGTGTTGAGGTCCCTCTGGATGGCATTCCTTCCCTCCAGTGTATCAACCGAAACCACACAGCTTGGTGTCATCAGCAAACTTGCTGAGGGCGCACTCAATCCCACTGTCCATGTCACCGACAAAGATGTTGAACAAGACCGGTCCCAACACCGATCCCTGAGGGACGCCACTGGTTACTGGTCTCCAGCTGGACATTGAGCCATTGACCACAACTCTTTGTGTGCGGCCATCCAGCCAGTTCTTTATCCACTGAGTGATCCATCCATCAAATTGATGTCTCTCCAACATAGAGACACACAAGGATGTTGTGTGGGACAGTGTCGAATGCTTTACACAAGTCCAGGTAGATGACATCAACTGCTCTACCCCTGTCCATCAGTTCTGTAGCCCCATCATAGAAGGCCACCAAATTGGTCAGGCAGGATTTGCCCTTAGTGAAGCCATGCTGGCTGTCACCAACCACCTTGCTGATTTTCATGTGCCTTAGCATGCCTTCCAGGAGAATCTTGCCAGGCACAGCGGTGAGACTGACTGGTCTGTAATTCCCTGGGTCATCCATTTTCCCCTTCTTGAAAATGGGGGTTATATTTCCCTTTTTCCAGTCATAGGGAACTTCACCTGACTGCCATGATTTCTCAAATATGATGGCCAGCAGCTTCACAACTTCATTCACCAGCTCCTTCAGGACCCACGGATGGATCTCATCAGAACCCATGGACTTGTACACATTCAGATTTTTAAGATGGTCTCGAACCAGATCCTCTCCTACAGTGGGCACAAGGTCTTCATTCTCACAGTCCCTGCGTCTGCCTTCCAAGACTTGGCTGGTGTGGTCAGAGCCTTTGCCAGTGAAGACAGAGGGAAAGAAGTCATTCAGAACCTGAGCCTTCTCCAAATCCTGTGTAGCTGCGTAGTAATTATGTTCAGTCCTTCAAAATTACTGCAGTGCCTGACAAGCAGTAAGAAAATTCCCTTTTTATAGTTTAGTAATGACTTGTCTTTTTGTGCAAGCACCTGAAGTTATCACTGCACAAAGAAAATCTGTTTACAAAAGAGTAACTGTGCTGATGTTACTACGTTTCTTTTGCATTATGTCTCAGCTCCCCTGCTGAACTACTGGTTAGAAATAATTGTTGCAGACCAGTGCAAAATACTCGATGCATATGGTAAGAATATTTGGTCTTGGAAGGATATCTTGTATTCCCTTATAAATTTTTACCCCCAAGGAAAACAGACTATTTCCCAGTTCAAAAAAAGTGAAAGAATTCAGACTTTTCCCAGGTTGAGAATAAAACAAACTGAGATGGAAGAGACTGTCCAAGCTCAAGTGTACAAGCACAATCTGTCAGTTTTTCACAAATAGAAGAGAATGTGAATTTATTCAGTGTTGGCAATTAGAATTAACTGCATGGCTGTATCTTCCTGAATGCTGACATGCTTGTTCTTACATGACACTAGGGAGGAGGAGAAGGCTTGGTGGGAATTCAGAGGAGGAAGCAGGAACTGAAGAGAAGTGTTTCCAGAAGTGACTATTTTAGGTGCCTATCGAATGGAATTTTTTTCACAAATAATTATTTGCAGCCATTACTAACAGGATATAATTTCTTAAAATATATCAGTACATAAATGCACAAACACATGCCATATGCAGGAGCATTTGTTTATAAATCGTAATAAATTAGGCTTGGTTTTATTTTATTTTACATATCACATATGAAAGTGAGCTTGATGCCCTCATTTTTTTCTCCTCCATTTAGTAGATCACAAATCCATGCAACATAAAAGAAAAATTGAGCTTTGTTCAATGACAGCTCAAACAGAAATATTCATAGAAACAGTAATAAATTTCTTTCCACTTCTCATAATTTAGAACAGTTAATTCTTTATTTTCTTCAGCACCCAAGGAGTTGTAAAATTGTAAAATTCAGAGAATTTAATAAAAATAAAGTATTCTATAAATGCTTTTATCTGTTAAAATAATGTACTTTGTCTCTTGTAGTCTCAACAGTGGCCTTTTATTAAAAAGTTCAGATTTTAGCATTAGAGAGTTAACCTGAACTGTTACTAATAAAATAATTCCTTGTGCCCATTTATTTCTTACTTTATAGGAAAGTACAG